TGGCACCGATCTTTACGAAGACGGATGAATCACTTGCTTCGCACAAGCAGACAATTATCTTAACGGACAGAAAGCTAGTCACAATAGCCTGGTTGAAAATTAAATACGTAACCAACACATAGGAAAATAAAAGAGGTAAAGACGCATGTGTTATGTGCGTATTGTGTATTTTTATCATTAATAATCAAAAAAGTCATTCGTATACATCTTCATAACCATAAATTAATAAAGCACAACATGGCTTTACTAAGGCCACCTGAATTAAAAAAAAATCTTCTAGTTTTCCGGAATATTTAACACAGATGATAATGATAGCATTCCGATACTGTGTGCCTTAAATTTAGCAAAGGTAAAAACTGATTAGATAAGTAGAGGCTCGTGGCACTGGGGATGCATGATATCCAAAATGGGATAACCACAAGTTGTTTTTTCAAAGGAAACAAAGACTTAGAATAAATGGAATTAAGCCCGAGGAGGAAACCCGTTGTTAGTGGAGTGCCTCAAGGCTCTGCCCGAGGCCTCCGATGTTTACAATATTTATGAACTGTTGTTGTTGTTATAGATTCAGCTACTCGGAACAAGTTCCAAGTAGCACGGGCTATGGTGAGCCCGTAATTTACCTGGCACAGGAGCGGGGCAAGTAGCACGGGCTATGGTGAGCCCGTAGTGGAGTTATCTGGCACAGGAGCGGTGCGGTGTTATGAACTATTTAGACAGAGCTGAACGCAACATTTGCTGTTCGATAGAAAGCGATACAATCAAAGGCCAATAACAAACTAAGAAGAAAGTGGCATTATTAATGCATTAAATACATCAGCACGAAACACGTAACATTGGATACAAATTGGAGGTTTATTTTCAGGAACCATTAGGCAAAAATTGGTTTAGAAATAGGGTTGTCGAATTATGGAGAAAATTACCGGATAACATAATAGACATGAGATCGCTGGGTTGTTTCAAGCGAAGGTTTAGTTAATTATCAGGAGAAAGCACTAAGCCAGTACGGTTATATTACATTTGGAAGGGAAATGAGGATAAGGATTTAGGATTGGGCGGAGCAAAGGAACAGTGTCCAACCACTTGAATCATCGGGGAATGAACGCCGACCTGCAAGAAGCGAGGCCGTCGCTCTACCGACCATATACATATATCTGTGTGTGTGTGTGTGTGTATTTACTATTTGTGTCTGCAGAATCGAGCTATTAGCTCTTGGACTCCGCCTTCCTAACCACTTTATTTTTCTTCTATTATATCTACTCCATATATATCTCTCTCTAACACACACACACACACACACATCCCCAGTAAGAAGCCTGTAGCAGCTGTCTAACTCCCAGGTACCTGTTTACTAGGTGAACAAGTGTATCAGAGTGAAAGAAACTGCCCATTTGTTTACTCCTCCGCCGGGAAACGAACCCAGACCATTAGGACTACTACACACCAGGCGCTATCCACTTAGCCGCGAAGCCACATGTGTGTACTCACCTAGTTGTGCTTGCCGGGGTTGAGCTTTGGCTCTTTGGTCCCACAGGTGTGTGTGTGTGTGTGAGTGTATGTGTGTGGGTTCAAACAGGAGCTACACTTTCCAATATTCTAAGTGTTCTCTTCCAGTGACGTCAGGTTTAATTTCTTAAGGCTTTCTTCGTACCTTCCACCTCTCAAGTCTAGGCATATTGTGGCTGCTGTTCGAATATAAAAGAAGAAGGGATGAAAACGAAAGGAAAATAAGTTGGGAGAGGGAGACAGACGGAGGAAAAGAGGCATGATGCAAGTCCAGTTAACGTTCAAACAGATGGCACTGTTCTCGTGTTGTATAACTGTAAAACTAAACCAGATACATGGCATCTGTAACCGTGTTTTGGAGTGTCCATAGAGTATCTACGAGATGTGACTGTCTGTGTACATGCACGCGCCGAGTATGCATTTACGCCTTCGCTTTGAGCACCATTCTAAGATTTTAAGTGACCTCGAGCGTGCCTCAAACGTTTGAGCCCTATCCATCGTTTGCTTCACTTACAGAGAGATGTTACTTCAGAGTCGAAGGCTCTGCCATCATTCAGAGACACATTAAGTGAATAGTAGCAACAGCATCAGCAACAGCAGCAGCAGCAGCAACAGCAAAGCAGAAATGATTATATTTCAATATGAGCAGTAGAAGCAGCAGAAGCAGCAGCATTATACAGCAGCTGGTGGCGCATAAGTGGTACCGTTCACTGCCCCCTTCGGCTTTAACGTGCTTGTGTAAAACATTTAGTGTCTTGTTCCCATGTTCCCTTGTGACTCTTTTGTTATCGTTTGTTATTCTGTGTAAGGCGGGGATTGTTCTTTGTGTGTGTGTGTGTGTGTGTGTGTGTGTGTGTGTGTGTGTGTGTGTGTGTGTGTGTGTGTGTGTGTGTGTGTGTATGTGTGTGTATATGTGTGTGTGTGTGTGTGTGTGTGTGTGTGTGTGTGTGTGTGTGTGTGTGTGTGTGTGTGTGTGTGTGTGTGTGTGTGTGTGTGCGTGTGTATCGGGGAGGGAAGAAGGTGTTTGGGGGTGTATGTACGTGTTGTGGAAAGAATTTATATTGGGCCGTATGTGGTTGGAAGTACGTGTGTGGGGGAACTATTTTATGCCTGGCGTGGCTCTATTATACTCCACTTAGCTATAATGTACCCACTTTGGGTCCATTATGACCTACTTGGCTGTGTTATGCCCCAGTGGGCAGAATGTGTCTACGATCCTGTCTTAAACAGTTCCTTCGTAGTGTTCGATATTTTTGTCACCAATTTGTGCTTTTGCTAATCAACCTTAATAAGTCTGTTGAGATCACCCAACAAATACACAAATCAACTCAACGATTTAGCCCAACCACTAGCGGATGGTAGAACGACGATCTCGCTTCATGCAGGTCGGTGTTCAATCCCCCGACCGTCCAAGTGGTTGGGCACCATCCTCTCCCCTGTCCCATCCCAAATCCTTATCCTGAACCCTTCCATGTGCTCTATAGTTGTAACGGCTTGGTGCTTTCTCCTGATAGTTCCCTTTCTTTCTTGACGTTTAGCTCATTATTTCAAGCATGGGTTAGATAAGAATGAGTTTGGTTGGATATGAATAGGAGCTTCCACGCATAGATCAATAGGAGCTGCCTTGTATGGACCAATGGGTCTTCTGATGCTTCCTTAATTCTAATGTAATAAACACAATTATTTTTGTGTTTTCCTCTATACAGTTCATTTCATTTTGAGGACGATATAAATATTACATTTCAGGTTATGTTTTAATTTCAGTTGCATATCATTTTGTGTACTGGTCTTTGTTGATGGTTTAAAGACGGGTTGGTTTTCTTCTATAGCCCTTCAAATCACGAGGAATAACACAACCAATTGGCCGTTCAGATCACTTGCCATCTGACAGTCCGCCAGAAGGAATACGCACAATCAATCAACTGTTCCGATCACTTGAAATACCACTATCGGAAGAATGGGTTCCACCAATTAGTTCTAATACAGCTCTTCTCTCTCCTTGAATTTCATTGTTCTCTCTCTCGTGGTATTTACTGATTTTCAGGAAAGTCCTTCTTATATATCCATCCTGAAAATCATAGTCCCTTTTCCCTGGTATGCCTTGCTTTCTCTTTCTGAAACTCATTCCACTTCTTTTTTCTTGAGATTTACTGCTTATCCCGCATATTCACCGGGTTGTGGTGTGGTCGTAGCATTGTTTGACAAAGCCTCAGCAGCTGTTTCTCTACCATTGTCGAGAGTAGCGAGTCTAGCTTCTCTCAGCAGGGTACCACGTGAGAGTGTTGTTGCTGGCCTCTGGCTCTCACCACCTTTTCTCATATCACCTGCTGCGTTTTCGCTTCATAATTCATTTTTTATTTGTTTAAATGAAATCGCTGAAAGCTTAAAGTCGCGGGTGAGTGCACTGAGGGACATTTGTTTATCTGGAGGATAACGTCCAGATAACCAAAACGTGGGACACAGAACCAGGAGTGGTGTATAGCCGGCGTGACCTCATCAGAGATGTGGAGATCGTGGTAGCTGGCCGTTTCTCATCTGAGGAAAAGTATTAGAGAGTGTGAAGAAAATCTAGCCAATAAAACCGGGTAGTTAACGTTTGGAAGGTTCACACCGGACGCCGCAGCTTTGGTTCTTGGTCATTAATTCCTACGTCGTTCCCAGAGGTAAAACCCGAGTGCTGCCGTGATAAATTAACCCTCTTGATATATTCACGGAAGCAGCAAATAAATTATGAAAAGCTACTAACAAGAAAAAGAAACAAAATCTTCCTACAATGCTGTGCTCACCCTAAACAAAACTTGTTTTTGGTACACTGAGAATTCAAATCTGATTTAACAAAATTAATTGAACAAAATGTTATATAATTCATCCATTTTATTTAAGTTATGCGAGTATTCAAGGTTGCTAAAAATCCACAAAAGCTGTTGACTACCTTGAGTTAGAGGTGTTAGGGTGAGTGTGAGACACAGTGAGGCTATGCTGGAAATATGCCTCTGTAATATTGTGGGGGGGGGGGGGCCCAGATGTCTGTATCTGAAAAAGGAGGCTTACTGTCAGTGTTGTAGCACAGTTGTCAGTGTTGTAGCACAGTTGTCAGTGTTGTAGCACAGTTGTCAGTGTTGTAGTAGTGGAGCACAGTTGTCAGTGTTGTAGTAGTGGAGCACAGTTGTCAGTGTTGTAGTAGTGTAGCACAGTTGTCAGTGTTGTAGCATTGAAGCACAGTTGTCAGTGTTGCAGTAGTGAAGCACAGTTGAAGGGGGTCATTTGGAGGGGTGGAATTAGAGAGGGGTCCCCTAGAGCAGGCTGGAGAGGAAGGATGCCCAGGTGGAGGTAGAGAGGTCCCGCTGAGAGGGTGGTGGTGGTTGTGGTGGTGGAGGGGTGCGATTGAGTGAGTGGGGAAGGGGGGGGGGGGTAGAGGGATCACCTGGAGTGCACCAACCAGCTTTCTACCTGTCTGCCGCCCGGCCAGCCGTCCTCCGCTCAGTGTGTTGACAGTCTCTCTCGCGCGCTGTGATGCTCCCTGCCCAGTGCGTCCCACCGCCCCGTGCAGCGCTGTGTGGCCTGACGTACCCTGCGTGTGTGTCCGTCTCGTGTCGTATATCATGTGATACCCGTAGTACAGCGTCTTTATTTCTATATATCGGTGTTATGTACCGTTCATGTGTTCCCGGCACAACGTGTGGTCTGAACTACAAAATTCCGTCCAGCACCGCGTGTGCGTCAAGAGACTTCCGTTGCTTAGCAATGTTTACATCGCCCTGGGCCGTACATGCCCTGATATAGTATCAGTTTGTCGTCTACAAACGGTCAATTTTAAAGGTACTAGTGCACAACTAAGCCTCAACGTGGTACATGGGTTCTCACTTCAGTCATACGTATATATACTCAGTCAGGATTGAACGAATTGGAAGCGAACGAAGGAAAACTGTTGATAAGAGGCAGGGACAGAACGTAATGACTGGAGGGATAGAACTGAAGCTTGGTGTTTATGTAGTGACTGGGGGGAAACAAAGCTAAAAAAAATATTAACTGTGAGAAAAAATATCTTCTTGCAGCTGGAAATGCACCGAAAGTGGTCATTTACGGACCGGAATAGTGGTTTTTGTGTTATGCTGACGAACGTTTGTTTGTGTTGTTCAGTTATTGACAAGGGATGCTGCCTCACCCAAAAATCTCGATTGTGTCACACCCAAAATAAGGGATTCTATCTTACCCAAAATATGATTGTAATAAGCTCAAAACAAGGGGGCTTGCACAAGGTCTAAAATAAGGGGACGTCTCCCACGCGCAAAGATTAAACTTATAGCTGAATATCATCGTTCGTGTCGGGTCGTTCCTTTACTGTATTGTTCGAAATGTTTGCAGTGAATGTCTTTCTGTCAAATACACAAACGTGCCGAAAATTATATTATGTATAAACTAATTTCTTAATGTTAACTAATTATGTAATTTAAACAATGTGTATAATGCTATAGAGCTAAAAGACATTAACTAATTGTCTGGTAACTGGTTACTAGTTATCCCTGGTAATTAGCTATATAGTACTAGTTATCCCTATCCACTATCCCTGAAACTAGCTATCCTTGGTGACTAGCTATCCCTAGTACTAATTATCCTTGTTAGCTAGCCCTGGTAATTAGCTTTTCCCGGTAATTTGTTATCCCTGGCAATTAGTTAGCCCTGGTTGCTAGTTATCCTTATTTACTAATTATCCATAGTTACTAGTTATCCCAGGGTAACTAGTTACCCATAGTAAATCATCCTAGGTAACTAATAACCAGGGATAACTAATTATTCCCGCTAACAATCACTGGTAACCTGTTATCCCCTAGTAATTAGTTACTTGGTAACTATCCATGGTAACTAGCAATCCCTGGTTACTAGTTTACCAATGCCAATTATGAGATGTTTACTATAATTAATAACCAAAATACATATATTAAATAATTAGGAATAAACATATTTAGTAACTATTCCATGATGAATGTTTACAAATCAATTAGTTGTCCTGATAACGAAAACATTTCTCTTTGGATTAATCATTTTTAATTATTAAAATATAAATAATTATATATATATATATATATATATATATATATATATATATATATATATATATATATATATATATATATATATATATATATATATATATATATATACAATTGACGATCACAAAACACTGATCATTTTATGCGGAAAATCCACAGAGAAATATGAAATGAGGTGAACGTTTCGGCTCTGTTAAAGCCTTTGTCAACACCAGACTGACTTCAATACTCAGTCAGTCTGGTGTTGACAAAGGCTTTAACAGAGCCGAAACGTTCACCTCATTTCATATTTCTCTGTGGATTTTCCGCATATATATATATATATATATATATATATATATATATATATATATATATATATATATATATATATATATATATATATATATATATAAAGGAGGAAAGAGTAGAATAAGGATAAATAAGGTAAAAAACACATACAGTGATTAATCAGGTGTAGAGGGCGTTGTTTGTCGAGCAGTGTCTTCTATGTTGGCATCTTCACGTTCAGGTCTTGTTCTTACTCTCATGGTGGGTAGAGTGAATAGTTCCGTAATTTGAGTATTTATGGTAGGTTGTTCTATTTTTATGTGGAGTGCTTCAAGAATTTGTAATCTTCTTACATCTTGGGATTTGTCTATTATGCAAGTGTTTTTATTCAGCATTTCTCTTGTTAGGGTGATGTCATGGGCTTGTCTCATGTGATTTCTAGGGGCACCGGATTGAAGATGACAGGTCAAACGCCTCGTCAGCTATATATATATATATATATATATATATATATATATATATATATATATATATATATATATATATATATATATATATATATATATATATATATATATATATATATATATATATATATATATATATATCTGATTCAATGAAGAGTTGAGTCTATGACTTTTCTTTCTTGTCACATTTAGCTTAGTTCCTTACTTTGTATGTCATGATCATATCCCCCTCCCGAGTATTCCTTTCTCCTGGAATACTGTTTATCCTTCTCAATAAGTGAGGAAGACAACAAAAATTCGCAGCTTCTTTAATTCAGCAGTAAATCTGATGGCAAATTTCTAGACTTTATAGGTTATTCTTTTATAGCTTACAAAGTGTGGGTTCATTACTGGCGCTGCATGCTCCATTATTGTTACAACATATGCACAGTTGTTGTTGTTGTTAAAGATTCGCTACCTGGAACAAAAAGTTCCAAATAGTTGTCTACGGCACTACAGGCTATGGTGAGCCCGTAGTGCCTAATATGCACAGTATCGTGGAGGTATATAGTGTGTGTATATATGCGAGTGTGTTGTGGTGTGTGTATATTCTTTCCTAAATATACTGCACATTGTGAACCTGTGACAGAGCTCCTGGCTCTGTTTTATTATTTACCGTTATTCCTCATAACGTAATCAGTTCCTAAAGCAGTGTATGTAGTCAGCCTCGAATATCTCGCTGTTTTATGCTTCACATTTGCTCACCATTCTGGCACCTGAAGAAGTGTGTCCTTGCATTTCTATAACTCCTCTGGGCGTCCTCTTTCCATTTATAATTTTTCTTTTAGTTGTTGCTAAAATTAAATTATTTATCAAGTTTGTCATCCTCGATAAGAATCGTGTATGTCTCGGAAATATCTTCTGTATTTTCTAGGCAGATTCTCAGCCTTTAGCTGGAGTTTTATTCTGAACACAGTCGAGCTCAACTGTCTCTTTACTGTTGTCTCTGAGCGCTGATATTTAGTAATCAACTCATGCAATGAGTTTATTTATAAACATTAGTAAACCAAATTTATATAATGCTGAGCCTTGTTGAGCCCAATCTATGCTCTTCACGTTGATTTTTGGACTGTGGCTCTATGGAAACTAGGGGTGTCCTTTGTGGTCCTCTCCAGGTCGCTTCAGCCGGCTTTCCATGGTTGAGTGGACGACCTTCTGGCAGCAAGAAAGGTGCACTCAGGCATATATTTCCTTTCTAGTTAGTGTAAGTCTGTCATACAGATCAAGCAAGTATGCCATGATGGATTTCCCTTCAGTGAAACCATGTTGATGCATGTTCACGAACCTATTTTTTCTGTTTATGCTTCACGAGCCTATTTTCCCTTAATACTCTCGCTTGTACCTTGCTGGGTGCACCTGTTTATGGCACAGATTTGTAGCTAAAGATCAACTTTATATTTTCTAATCTGTATATAGATAAGGTGTTAGCATTTATTCAACAATTCGATAGACCGTCCACACTCCATTCAAGTTTTAACTGAACCTGCAGCATTTTCAAATTAGACACCCGACCCACACATCTGGAAATAAAGGAAGTGCCTTGATAATGGTCCGGGACGGACCGAAACATCGTCGCTTCCTTTATTTATAGATGTGTGGGTTGGGTGTGTAATTTTCAACCCCATTATTGTGGCTCACTGTGAGCATTTGTCAAATTACCTGCCTCGAGTGTCTTCTGCATCCCATCCGGTTACCTCTCTGATTACTGGTTCTTCTCCAGGTGCTTAACCTTCTCCCACCTCTGGGAGGTTCTCAAGCTTTCTTGTAAACAACAGGAATATCACATTATGCTCTTCTCAACACTTGTCGTTTTCACTTTGGTCATCTTTCTTGTTTAGATTAGTTATTTATTGCCAATTTACCTCTATTGTGTGTGTGTGTGTGTGTGTGTGTGTGTGTGTGTGTGTGTGTGTGTGTGTGTGTGTGTGTGTGTGTGTGTGTGTGTGTGTGTGTGTGTGTTTGAAGGATTATCTGTGGGCGTGGGCGTCACAATACACACAACTAAGGTAACCCATATGGGAGGCCCCAGGGTGGGAGGGAGGGAAGATAGTGCGTCCAGACCACAAAAAGCGTTCATACAGGCACCACCAGGCACTTGTGGCACTCCAACATACATACACTAACTACCGTCGGAAGCGACTCAAGCTGTACCATCATAGAATGATTCTATGATTCAGGGTGCTGCATAGAATGATTCAAGCTGTACCATCATAGAATGATTCTATCATAGAATCATTCAAGGAAGGTAGTTGCTTACTGTTTATAAGATTGCCGGTATTCCTAAGCTTACTAGTTTCACCATTAATCTCCATTATATAATAGAATTACAATATATATAATTACGTAATTTCAGTATATATTTTTAAAATGTGGGCACAGGGCTGCGTTTGTGGAAAAGTTAATTATTAAGACTGTATGTAATTTATCATATTGTACACTGAATATATAACTAGCTAAAAAAAATACATTGCTCAAAATGTAACTAGCTGTAACAATCATAGTAATTATGCAGCACTGTAATTAAGTACCAATAAAGTGTTAATTAACGCTTTGCAATTGGATGTTAAAATGTAATTTATCGTAGTCACTTAAAATATCAGACCAATGATGCGGAAATACAATGAGCTGTGAACTGTGATACTAAGAAATTAAGTGTAATAATTCTAAATTAAATGCCTGACTTTAGATTTTATGCCAGAAATGCCTGACTATTAAATGCCTTTAATAGATTTTAAAATATCGAATGAAAAACATTTCCCGTAGAGACCTGATGTCTGTGACGTGACTGTGATACATAACAACACACCTTTACACGCTTTCTGATCCTGTGTCGAGCCTCGGAAGCATCTGAGATGAGCAGCGACGAGCAGAACGCTGCCCCATGATCATGTGTACCCATCCATGAATATGAATATATGTATATTTATTAAGGCCTTACACTAACTAATCCATATGCATGCTTTAGTCTAGGACTAAAGTGATCTCTAAGTGTATATAGACCAAGAAGTGGGTATATATGCACCTCTCGGTGTACGAGGACACTGTTACCACACTGTTTTTGTCTGCCCTGACAATGTCTGCTATTGTTTACCGGAACGAAAGAGTTACGTACCGTTTTGTACTTCTCTATACGGTTGAATCGCCAAACCTCTTTCAAATGATGTTATTTTTCTTGCTCAGTATTCACGTTGAGAGTTTTTGCCTTCTGGTGGCGATATTTGAACGGGGATTCTTTGCAGTGCAGATAAATATTAAGACCATAACAAAATATGACTGAACATGAGTGAGGTAGATATTTGCGAGTTATCCCTCTCATTCTTCACCGAAAATGGATAGTAAGAAGAAAACGGGAAGCTGCATTAGATTTTCAGTCACGAGATTCGTTTTCATTAATCGCTCGACATGTTTTCGAGGCATTAAATGCGTAATTTAAATATATATATATATATATATATATATATATATATATATATATATATATATATATATATATATATATATATATATATATATATATATTGGTAGCAGTCTTTCTTGTAAATATATGTTGTTGAATATGAAGGAAAGAATAAGATTATTGATTCTAACACGAATCTTCTCAATACATCTTATGATTTTCTTCACTGTCGAGGGTAGTTGAAAAATTAACTCTCCTAAGTTAATTTTCACACTCTATTTTTGGTCTGATGCCTAGAAGCATTTCGCAAGACACTTCTTACATTTTCCAAGACAATTTTACATACTCTGCGAATGATTATGTTCGCTTGGGGTGAGGTGATGCAGGACATGATTGAATTTACTCTCGTCCCGGACGATGTTCAGCACAAAATTATTCTTGCTGGTTAGTGACTCCCGCGGTTGATAGGTCCTAAGCTCATCATTAAACCCCACCAAAATATCACGCCGTGATAGTTCTTCCTTCACTCAGTATCGGCTGATCACACAGTAGGCTGTGAACGTCCTGCAATAAAGTAACTTTGTTCAATTCATTATCATCTTGGTACAAGTTGAGTCATTTATGTTGCACCCTGTAGCTATCCAGTGGGCGGTGATGGAAAGGTTACAAAGGTTCATAATTAGTTCAGGAACACAGTTTCTGAACCTATTCCCACAGTTCCTCGGTTCCCCACAGCTCATTTAGCTAAACAAGTAACAATTTCGTGAAGCTAGTTACTTAATTTTCTTTTTCTTTTCCACAAATACATGTAACCCTGGTAGGCGTTTATCAACAGCGGGCAGTTAAAGAAAACGGCAGACGCCAACAGAGAAAGTGTGAATCCTGGGGGGCCTTAGATAATCACCAGAATCAGTCATACTGGGAGCTAGATGACAGGGAGAAATCTATAATTTCCTCTCCTGTAGAGATATTAAATAAACGTATACTGTAAAAAAGTGAATCAGATTGTTAATGGCAACAGTAACTTAAGATTTGATGAAGGTGATATCGACGTGGAGGAATTGCTAAAGTGTTTATTGAAGGGAAACTTAAAAAAATGCTAGTCACTGTCTAAATTGGAAGAAAGCTCGCGTTATAAGTGAAGTTTACCAGAGAATACAGGTGTAAAGTGAGAGAAGTAGCAAGGGCTCATAAAGTAAACAAACAAAATATATTTTCACTATATAAATATATTATTTGCGAATATATTCGCAAAGAATATATTTTCCTTTCTTTTTTTATAGAGAAAATTCTGAAAATAATATGGCTCCTCACACTGGAGGACATTTTAAAAGTGACCAAACCATTTGTAAAATTTATCTAAAGTGGTTCGTGGTTGTGTAGCTTGTCTATTGCGTATGAAAATTAGCACCAAACAAGTCAGAATGATCATTTAAATGTGTGCTTGAGTATATTTACTAGTGAAGAGATGGATAGACAAATAGAAGGTACTGATGTACTCTCCGGTTAATAAAGACATGCCTCATGTATCAAGATCTTAGCTATGTCACGTTAGTTCTCGGTGCTGATTGAATCTAGAGATTATTTTTTTAGAGAAAATACTCCACTGCGGGCTCACCATAGCCCGTGCTACTTGGATCTTTTAGTTCCAGGTAGCGAATCTTTAACAACAACAACATTTTAGAGAAATACCAACTCATTCATCCTGTCTTGCTTTCTCTCAAATCAATTACGTTTGTTGGGGTAGACGAGAGTGATTTAAAGTGGGGGAAAAGGAGGAAAAGAAAAGTGTAAAGTAAAAAAAAAAAGTAAAGTGCGGAGGAAAAGAAAGATGAGTTTCACACCTTGACGTGATGTAGGCATCGGCCGTAGAAGGTCGAGGATTGTGGTGTGTTGTACGTGCCATCATCAGTGGTCAATATGTTCTGAGAAAATCTATTGCCAGATGGTCTGAAAATCTCGTTCCTGTTGAATGGTAATACTGACTTGTGCTTCACCGTGCGCGCTCACTGTACATGGTGATCAATGGCAAAGTTTTTTGCAGGTTTTTAATGTTGAAAAGTGGACTGTGTAATTAGTGCACATGTGAGAAGGGAAGGACTGAATGATGGAGGACAGTGTGTAATGCGAGAGAACAAGTCCTTGAAGGGGCCTCGCCGGTATGTTGGAGGTGCTGGTAATAGGCCTGGTAGGCCTCACCTACACGTGCATACAGACTCTCTTCTTCCTCAACTGTCTCAACTCCCGCAGGAGGGAACAAAGAAGGCTGGAGAAGGTGTACAGAGACAGTATACGGAAAATCAAAGGTGGCGTCGTTGAGGTGCGAAAGAAAAAACAAGATGTTGAAAAGGGAGTCACCGTTAAAAGTGTAAAAGAAAATGGGGTTTGTATCAAAATAGAAAATGAGGTAAGAAGTGTAAACAACAAAGCCATTTCTGAGGAGAGTTGCGAGGGCCAGTTAGTGACGCGACTTGTGGTTAACAGTGGGAAGGAGGCTTCACCTACTTCTCAAGAAGCGCTTACTGGTTCGCTTTGCGTCCGGGTTCAAAATGACATTTTGCAGCTAAGTGATCGAAACATGGAAGGCAAGCATGATCTAGCAATTGTGGTGAATGAACCTCTCCCGCAGCGCAATAATGAAACTAACCTCGTTTCACAAGATAAGAACTGTTCGACGCTGACCGTGGCGCCAGCGGGTCCTCAAGCCTCCCGTGGCTTCAACATTACTGTCAACAGCAATATGATTGAAGTCCGAGACGACGGTGAACCGCCTCTTCAACACACAGAACCGATTTACGAGTCAATAGGGGAAGAGCCTTCCTCTATTTTGACGCAGGTGACGGTGTGCGAGGAGGGTGATGGGCGACACAAGTCACTTCCGAGAACCACAGATGTGTTCCGTGAGGTACAGGATATTCAGGACAGCTGCACAACGGAAGACGAGCTGGCTCAGACCTACAGGCAGCTGCCCCGACTGCCTGGTACTAATGATATCAACCTCGTCAATACAATCTCCCAGATCCTGCAGAGTCCTCCAGAGTCTTTGGAACCAGAAACTGAGAATCTGCCAATAGAGTCCTTCGACGCATCTCCGGGATTCTCACCAACAAACATTGTCACAATAGAAAGTCACTCATCAGTCAGTGAGGGCAGTGAACGCAACGACTCGAGTGTGACTCCCGGACGGAACGAGAGTGAGGCAGGGAATTCCATTGTGGCAGAGTGCAGGCAGAGTGGCAGAGCTGCAGGAATATGGACATTGCCTAGATCCGGGCGTAGTCGTCCCTTTGAAGATTATGAATCCCTGCCTAGAATACACGCGAGAATGTCTATCGGCCGGAAGGCTGCATTGTATGCCCCTGGCAGCCACACGCTGCCTCGACCCGCCGGCCACACACTGCCTCGCCCCGTCAGCCAGACGCTGCCTCGCCCCGTCGTCCACACACTGCCTCGCCCCGCCGCCGGCCACTCCACCAGGCGTGACGAGACGTTGTTGGAAGGAGACCCGCGCCGAACCCACACCCTCAACACCTGTCATTCCCGCCCTGCCATGGCCGGTGCTGCTACCACGCCGATACACACCGCGCGAGCTGCTTTCGCTAACGACCACAGTTATAACGTTGTTAACGGTAAAACACTGAGCAGTAATAACAGTGGTTCGAACACCAGTGTGGGTGACCTTGAAGTGACCTCCCACTGCGAGGACTATGCGGACAGTGAAGAGTCAGGCGATTCCTTATATTTCACTGCGAGTGATCGTAGCAATAGTATTATTAACAATGATATGAGACGTGACAGTGAAGAAGGCACTGAGCCTATCATATATGAAACTGTTGAAACTCTAAATAACCCGAATAAAGACAAACATAGTCCAGTGTCTATAAAACTCAATGCATCGAAGCAGAATGAAACTGATTCGAGAGTTGGGAACGGCCCACAGGAAGACCGAGTTGAGGCTAATCCGTATGATTATCACTGCGACACATACGAGGAGATTAGCCGTGACTCGGGCATATTCAACGCTGGCGCCTCCAAGCAGCACCATGACGAGGACGGCGAGAGTGTCGGATCCGGATCCCAGTATGAAAACATTTCCGAGTCTGACACTCATGGCGACTCGGGATACGAATCACCAGGTACGAAAGCTTGTTTATTGTCCATACTCAGAGAAACAAATGATAATGTGGCTGAAACGCATGAGAAAGTGACAACGTTTCGGTCTGTGTTGGCTCCTTATCAAGTGCTTGATAAGAGTCCAGAATGGGCAGAAACGTCGTCAATTTCCTTTCATTTCATAAATGTAATTTGGGTTATTGGTCCATGTTTTATGTATTAATCAAAATTTGTCCCATATATCCTTTAGCCTCTTCCTTGTAAAGAGAAGATATCTATGTGATCATTTCAGTGAGATATGAGAAAATATGCATATAATACCCACTGTAAGTATAAAGGGCCCAGGATATTCACCCTCCACCAACCAATATAAGAAGTATTGCTGGAGCAAAGGTAGGAATCTTGAAGGAACTCAATAGGTTCCTACAGGCATTGTTTGATCGGTTTGATTGTGATGGTTATATAAATTGGCTTCCAATAGCCTGGGTGATCAAATATAATCACCAGTAATCGCAAGATAACTCTCGTAATCACCCACAGGAAAGCAACACATGTACCATACTTGTGATTTTTTAAACCGAACACAATTATAGAACACACATACCATGGGATTGTTAACCGGACTCAGGTAAGCTGCACAAGTTATATGTGTGACTTAGACAGGTAAGCCTAGATCCCCCTCATAATTACTGGGAATTGTTAGACTGGACACAGTAAACTGCACGTGTATTTTAGGACTTTTAAACCGGACACGATTAAGCTGCTTACTGTATATACTTAATTGTGAATTGCTACACCAGACACGGTTAAGACACACCGAGAACTTACTGGAAATTGTTGAGCCAGAAACAGGTATAAAGAATAAATAAAATTAGCTGTAGACCCGCTCGTATCTTAACGATAACTCCCTCGTGTACTCCAACAGTTATCAAGGTAGTCCGTTCACTCTGCCTTGATTAATCACTGCCATGATTAATATCCGAGTTTTACTCTCAAGCAAACTTTATCAGCCTTCGCTTGCTGATCTTTGTTATCACCACTGGCCTTGTTTAACACCATTATGGGTAGTTGTTTAATTTGGACTTGGTAATCACCAGTTGCCTCAGTTAACCCCACTGGCAATGGTTTCGATTATTCCCATTGGTCTTGATTAATCCCATTGATCTCGATTAGTACCACTGGTTTCGATTAACTTCACTTGGCTCGTGTACAAGTAGGGGGGGAAGGGATCTAACAGGAGACAGCGCCAAGCCATTGCCACTATACTTGGGAGGGATCAGGTTAAGGATTTGGGATGGGACGGTGAGGAAAGGAATGATTCCCAACCACTTGGACGGTCGGGGATTGAACGCCGTCCTGCATGAAGCGAGACCGTCGCTCTACCCAAATGGTTGGGCAGATTGTAGTGTGTGTGATGAAGAGACCACGAGCATTAGATCTCCAGTGTGGGGTGTGCGCCTCTGCCTGTGTGAGGTGCAGGATAAAGGGAAGATTGAAGGCAGGGTAAGGGTAAGGAGAAAGAGGAAACGGGAAAGGAGGACAGGGAGGAGAAATATAAAAATATATTATCAGGAAAATGCATTAAGGTAGTATGACTAGACTGAACTTGAGGTAGAAGAGAGAGAGAGAGAGAGAGAGAGAGAGAGAGAGAGAGAGAGAGAGAGAGAGAGAGAGAGAGAGAGAGAGAGAGAGAGAGAGAGAGAGAGAGAGGGAGGGAGAGAGAGACACACAGGAAGGGATGAAGAGGGAGAAGAGCGGAAGCAGGTGTTAGGGAGAGGAACCATGCGGTGAGGTCAGCAGTTAATACCCTCACTGGTACACTACATTTAGCAGCTGTTTATACCCTTGCTGAAGCGACTTAGTTCACCATGATATCTTCCCGTCACTTCACAGCTCGGGGGCTGTGCCCTGTGTGGAACCACTCGGAGATTCACGGCCCCTCTTAGTTACACGGAACTTATGGTAAATGTTAGAAAAAATAGGGAACAAATGTATATTATTGCAGTTTTAATAGGCGTCAAGGTCGCCACCTTCTCCGGGAAGCTGTAACCAAACCAACACTCTTTTCACGTGTTTTAGAAATGATGAATTTGAATTTCTAATGCTGCTATATGACGTGAATTGGTTATTCTAGACACTATCACGTGACTAGATTATTTTGACCATTTATATTGCTTTCTTTGAAAATTTAAAGATATATTTCTTAAGTAAACCTATAAAGGTTTGTCCATAAATATATTCACATATTTTTAATATATATGTCAGTTCGTCAGCTCGAGCAATAAAACAGGGTTAACTAGTAGTTAATGAAATGCAAAACTAAGAGTATGCTTTCACAGTGATTCGCCCCTTAAGCAAGATGTGATTAATTCTGGTCTATGAGTCTTCCAAGAGACTTATATTCGGCAGTAAAAATAGAGATGAACTCTGAGGAATGGGTTAAGGCTCCGAAGAGACTTTAATGCTGCCATAAGTAGTGATCAGCTTGGTGACTTGAGTACGTCAGCAAGGCAAGGCGAGGCACCTCAGCTTGGAGAGCTGAACACATCAGTAAGGCACCATCAGCTTGGAGGCGCGTCAGAAAGAAATGGTTAGAATAAAGCTCTTGGTTACAAATTCCACCTGAGGGGGAGTGTTGGAGGTGTGACTGGGAGGTGGTCAGAGAGGCGGGGTGTGGACTGGTGGCCGCGTGCTTCTGTTCTATTTACACGGTGCAAACTTGACCTATATTGCATTGCCCTCACCAGGTACGCACGCTCCTGCACGGGCGCGCATGCGTACACTCATCAATAGTGCCTTTTAATGTAAATTATAACTATTAATATTATTTATATTAATAAAACTATTGTTTTTTTAATTACAAACGACTGATTATGAAAATAATTATAATTTTGTTATAGTGTAAGTGATGAGCAGAGGGAGATGGAGAATGGAAGGAGGAAAGATATCAAGGGGTATTATTAGATTGTTGAAGCAATCTTATCTACTGATAATCGACAGGACTTGATCTAATATCAAAGTGAATGTACATGCTCATAGAAAGTGCTTAAGACGTGATGTACACGACTCAGGGAGGACTTCTGTCAACATTCTCCGCCCATCTCCACCTCTTCGTGTCTATCAACCTCTCTCTCTCTCTCTCTCTCTCTCTCTCTCTCTCTCTCTCTCTCTCTCTCTCTCTCTCTCTCTCTCTCTCTCTCTCTCTCTCTCTCTCTTTCGAACTCCCTCACCCTTCTTTCTTCTTTCCTCCCCGTTTCCCTCTTCCTCTCTTTCTCCTACCCCCTCTATATCAACCACCCTACCTTTCACTCTCCCACCCTCCCTCTGCATTAACCACCCCCTCTCTTCCGCCCCATGTCTCTATCTTCTCCCCCCCCCCCTCTCGCCCGCCACCTTCTCTTTCCCTTCCTCTCTCTCCCGTCTCTTCTTCCCTCTCTATTTCTATCCTCTTCTTCATTTCCCTCTTCTTCATTCCCTCTTCTTTCTTAGTTCCCCAGATCTCTCCCTCCTCCTCTTCTCTCTCTCCCGTCTCATTCTTCCTCCGTACCTCACTCTACTTTCCACCCCTTCCCCCCTCCCCCACCACCTCTAACCTAAAGGCATTCTGGACGCCTGAAGTACATAACGAAGAATATATAAATTGTATTTAGCGAGCGCTCGTTATTCTCTCGTTAAGAACTTGTGGGCGTAGTTTCTCCTACTTTTTCTCACCAGTTAATTACATTTCTTTGGGGAGGGGGGGGGGTCTTCCGGCACTTTCTGGTGGTGGGTCTGTTAGCGGCCGATCTACTTTTAGCGAGTTACAATAGTTGCCGAGTTCGCTAATGATATTGGTGGTTTGTTCAAGCCCTTGGGCTGGACGGGAGAGCGACGGTCTCGCTTCATGCAGGTCGGCGTTCAATCCCCGACTGTCCAAGTGGTTGTACACCATTCATTTCCCCCCCCCCCCCCGTCCCATCCCAAATCCTTATCCTGATCCCTTCCAAGTGCTATATAGGCGTAATGGCTTGGCGCTTTCCCCTGATAGTTTCTTTCCCTGTTTGGGGCCTATATTTCCTTGGTGTTTTGTTATATATATATATATATATATATATATATATATATATATATATATATATATATATATATATATATATATATATATAATGGTGCTTATATCTGCTGGTTTTGCTACTTGGCGGCGTGATGATTTCTCTTTGCTAGTTATGTTCATTGACGATACACTGTAATTTTTATTAACTAGTCTTAATTCGTGTCGGTGTGTTGGTGAGAGTGTAAGCTATTTGGTAGTTTGTTGAATTGAACGGTTGAGTTTCTAATTTTACCTGCTTCAGACTATCTTGTGAGAGGGGAAAATAAATTACGACGGAATAAAATCTAATATAATTCGTTTAGATGTCACGAATATGAGGTAGGACGGTGAGGTAGAGGAGAGAGTGGGCGTGTGTGCTCGGGAGAGTATTTGCTCGTGAGCTTTTAGACTGTAAATGTAACAAAGGGAATATTGATTGGAAGAGTGATTACTTTCGTGTACTTATGCCTAATTACAGGTGAGTCATGGCTCAATCTGTTTACATTGGGTTCTCTGTTTACAAAACGATGGTAAAGAGTTTGTAGCAGGAGGAGGAGGGAGGGGGAGAGAAGATTGGGGGGTGATGTATGAACTTTCTCTGCCATTTAAGAGGTGAAGATGCTCCAGAGGGAGGGTGTGAGTGTGTGTGGAGGTGCTGGGGTGTGGAGGTGCTGGGGTGTGGAGGTGTGGGTGTGGAGTTGGGGGTGTGGGGGGGGGGGAGGTGGGGGTGTGGGGGGGGGGGTGGTGGGGGTGTTGATGGATCATTGTGGATGTCGATCTGGCATTGTATATGTACAATAAATAGTCTCTCATTACGTACATTATACCCTCATTTCCGGGCACGTGTGGTAAGCTTACTCACATGAATCATGGCTTGAGCTTTGTTACTCTGTTGTCTCGTTTAGTCCACTTTCTCACACCTTAAGCTCTCAGACCACAGTAACGTGTTTA